CTTCCTTTTTTGTGTGTGGGGGTGTGGGGGGGGGGGGGGGGGAGGGGATATATTTACTGCATAAAACTTGTGTAGGCTTGAATTGTCTCAAGTCGGTTCTGGATAGAGCAAAAGAAAATTTGATGCAGTAAGATCCGAAACAGGGAACATCAGACCAAGATCTCAATATTTTGAAGGCTTGATACAATAGAAACCAAAGACAGTCAGAGACACCGCAATAATGTCCACCTTTCTCCTTCCATTTAACTTGGCAAATAAACAACATACATGACAAATTTCACTGAATCAGCTTTAACAAAATCCTGGATGATAAAGGAAAATAAAAGCTAGGATAAGAACTCACTTGAACTTTTGAAGAATTGGAACTCGTCTTCTTTGTGAAACCACTATCCATCCCATAATCTGAAAAAAAACTGGTGGACTTTGGAGGGGCCACATGGTTAAGAACGCGAGAGCCTCCAGAACTCGTCTCCGCAGGTTGGACATTGTATGTGTACTCAAAACGAGACGCAAATGATGAACCAACAGTTGGTGCATTACTTGCAGCATTGGAGGAGGGAACTTGAACAGGCGGTTCTTCAGGCTTTTGCTCATAGAGACTTTCACTAGACTATACATGGTGAAGGGTCAATAGATTGGAAACCAAAATCACTAGAACAAACTTGTTAAAACAGCAGGGATATATCTTCTTTTTTCTTTGGTGGGGCAGGGTGATGCAGGAATTTCAAAGCATCCAATTTTACATATATGCCCAATTTCTTCATTGTAAGTCTAATATGTACCTTTTTAGTAAGTTTGCGAGCTCCAAGTCCTCCAGACTTCCCAGCTTTCTTCGCAACTGTAGGTTTCTTAAGAAAGGTGGTAACAGCTTGAGAGGCTTTGGGTGAAGCAGTAACCTCGGTTTTTTCGTCCTTCAACGAAGACGTTTCTTTTGGAGGCTCCCTAGTCTTAATATCCGGAAATACGTTAGTAGCCTGTGCAGCCTGAGAAGCAACAAGAGATGCTGGCAAAGCTGCTGGCAAAGCTGCTTGCAAAGCTGCTTCCTCTGCAGTACTTTTAGCAACTTCTTTTGAGAGTAACTGCCTATACAAGTCAGCAGCCCTTGAGGTATACTTGGAGTCAGTCTTGCCTCCATCGTTCCATCCATGCTGCTTGAAAAAAACTTGAGCACGGTTATTTCCACCAAAGTACATCATTTTTAACTGCTCTGGAGACCACGAATCTAAATTTGTCGATCTGCAAGACTCAGCTTCTCAGTAAATGGAAATAGAAATAATAATATGACGGAGCAACAACAGAAGATTACCATTACTCTTGTTTGACTACATCAACCCCTACTCCCCAACCCTAATATAGTAAAGAAAAAAAGCCTATCATACTGCCACCAACATTTTAACCACCAAACCTAGAATACTAACAGCTAATCTACTCTCTTCTCCCTTTCATTAACAAAGGATGACCAATGGCTTGAACTGACAGTTGGTTTAGACACCACGGTTATCAACAACAACTACTACTACTACACCTCAGTCCCAAACAAGTTGGGATCGGCTATATGAATCCTCATTTCTTCATTTAAGAATTGTATCATCATCACAATAAATAAACTAAAACTAAAAAATATGTTATATATTTATATAAATAATACTAATACTAATAATAGTAATAAATCCAAAAAGAAGGACATGAATTGACATCTCCTTCCACGTCACTCACTGCTTACTTTTCAAGCGATCCCAACAAGACAGCAAAGATAATATCTTATTCCCCATGGCCACATCATAATCTGGACAGGTGGAGTAGCCACAAGTCCCACAACAGTAGTTCACATGTGAAAAGAGTTGTGTATGGAATTGTGGGAAATGAGAAGGAGCACCAACTTTGCTCAGTTATTTAAGGAAAAATGCAAAAACAAGCAAAGATCATATCGAAACATTACAAGTTTCCCTGACTATTTGGATGTACTCTCTGGGAGACACTACATCTTCTACTCCATTTTGCCTTGTAACATCATTTGTTTTCTTCTAACTTTATGCTCTTACAGTTTTTAACTTCACCACAAAAGGAACCAGGGTCCATTTTGAGAAAACATAAAGGTATTGTATTAAATTGAATAGCACCAAGCTAGAGCGTCAAAATGTAGTTGTATCACAACTTACGAGTTGTGCAATTCCTGTCACATGTCTAACAAGAAATCTGAATCCCATAGAAATACCAGTTCGCACCCCAAACACTAGCAAAGGTAAAGTTCTTACTTATGGCTACGTATGTTTTGCCTGTGCTTTCAAAGATTCTGGTGTTCCTTCCTTCTCAGACAGTCCACCAGATAGCTTGGGGTATAGTATTCCAGAATTTGAGGGATTTTTCGGGGAGATATCTCTATCAGCAAGTAAAATAGGACCCCCCCCCCCCTCATATTCTTCAAAGTACTAGAGACATTGCCCTTATTAGTCTCATATACTACCATTTATTCTTAACTGTGCATAATAAGAAGTTTTAGGGGTTGAATGTCATCCTCTGATTTACTTTACAGAAAATCATGGAGCAATAATCTCCCTGTTTCCCTTTCTTCTTCCACACATCTTGATCTAAATCGTTTTCCCCATGACCCCATCTCCAACAACCTTCCCCCTTACCAATTATCAGCCTTGACTTCTATTAAACTATCAATAAGCCATGCGACTATCCATGGCATATCCTGTAATTTGCTCCTAAAACTCATCTTCATGTTCCAAATCAATAATATCATCCAGTCACTTCCTCATTTTTTATTTTCTTTTATCCTTGTCCAACCAAAATGGAAATACACCATAACCCGTGGGAGTGAAATAGAATAAGAAACTTATAAGGTTGGTAGTTGCCTATTGGTTTTGACCAATTTGTTCTAGTCCATGTTAGACTTTGCTTCAATGGGAAACTAACTAGATGCATGAGAATACTCACTACTATTCAACAAAATCTGTCATCATACAATATTTCTCAACATATGAAACTTTGAACAACACGAGGAATTCATATTTATAAAAAACCACAAATATCTTCATATAAGTGAGTGAATGTTACCATGCCATTCAATACATGGTGCATTTCACTAGTGTGTAACTTACACCAAAGTCACAGCTCTTAACATGTTATTACTCAAAATCCAGCCATATTAAACCATACAGGTGCCACATTAAATAAGAACCAACCAAAAAATCAGCTCATTAAGCCAAAACAATAGTTCTAAAACGAAAAAAAAAATACCTAACGAAACTGATGTGAACGCCAAGGCTGCGATGAACTGCGGAACAATCAATACACAAGAAGATCCCATACGTCACGGATGCCCAAGTAGGATTCTTAGCATTGCAATCGAAACACATCTAACAAGGAAAAAACAACAAATTTTGAATTATATCATATAGAAAATCAAAATTACTCGACCAAAATAACGGATCTAAAACAGATCTCAAAAATCTCTATGTAATCAAACAAAATATCAACAAAATAATATAAAAAAGTTCCAAAAATAAATAAATTAAAACACTAACCTTGTTTTCAGGCTTGGATTTGAGCTTCCGAAAAACAGCGTTTTTGTCGCTGAAGTTGCCGGAAGCCATGGCTGTAGAAATAGATGATTCTACGAAGTTCCGACGAAAAGGATAAACGGCGACAATGATAGAGAGAAAAACGACGCGAATTGCCTCTTCAGGGAACGTACAGAAATGGTGCAACAACGTAGTGAAAGAGGAATATATGTAAAACCGCTAATCTTCTACAAATATAAATGTAAAAATTCTATTAAAAGGTTTTTTTTAAAAATTATTTTTTTTGTAGCAATTTTTGTGATTTATCTTTTGGAAAATTCTAATTTGGTCCTTTAATTATTTGAAAATAATTCTGGCTAAACTATTTTTGCAACAACAACAACATAATTGCATAAGTAGTGTCTTAAAAAAAAAAATCTTTACGACGAAGAAAAAAATATTTTCGACAGACCAGAATTAGAAAAAAATCTGGCCAAATTAATTTGCACAAAATATTACATTTGGTTGGTTGTCTATGAAGAAACAATCGCATATAATTTTTCTTATTTAAAGATGTTCTTAAAGTACGTAGTAGTATTTTGTATAAAAGTATATCTCTTAATTATTAATTAATTCAAAATAATTCATTCATTATCAATTACTTTATCAAAAGTTCTATCAAGAATTATTATATAAATGTAAAACTCACATAATTAGTACGCAAATCAAACGATCGAGGAGTGTGTCTTACTTTTCATCTTTTACTAACAAATATAAGTAAAATTTAATATAAAATTAAGTAATTAGTTGTCTTTTATGTTTTTTATTTAAAAACAAGTAATGTTATTTAGAACTAACTCTTGTTAGTTGAAGTGTGAAATGTATTAAAGCACACAACTCTATGAATTTAACATTTTCTCTTCTTATTTGTTTGTATTTTGTTAAATAAATGTCAGCTTTGAAGTGACGAGAACACCCTCTAGATCTAGGAAATATTAGGAATTGAATAAAGTGTGATGTTATTTTCTTTGTTATTAGAGAATACCCTGATAGTTTCTTTTTCAACAACTTTTTTTTACTATCATCTTCGATGTTCGATATTTGTATTGGAGTTCGATTAATCTGAATTGTGTTGGGTAGCGCTTAATTGGAGGTAGCACTACCTACCAACTATTCTTTTCATATTGAAAACTCAATAATTCTCATTAAGAAAGGAGTAGACTCATTTACGATATCACATATATATATATATATATATATATACACACTTAATACTTTGGTGGTTCATTTTCAACAACCTGGTAGTTCTCTGAGGTAGAAAGCTTACTAGATTTCCAACAGCATACCAGACTTCCTTTTAAGAGTTATTGAAAAAATATTTTGGTCAAAATCAAATTTTATACTAATCATGGAGAGAAGCCTTTGCTCCCTGCGTTTCAATTTATTAGTTCTATTTTGATTTGCAAAATTTTGAAAAATAAATCAGACTTTTGAAATTTATATCAAAATGTCTTAATTATACGACTGAAATGGATTCGTGTTTAAGTAAATGAAATTATAAAAGCTATCGTTAGCAAGCTTAATCATAGACTATTAGGCTCATAGACTATTAGGCGTTGGCAAAATCACCTTTCAAGTAAAGACTACAATCATTATCTCAAAGTCAAGAGGTTAGCAATTCCCTCATAAAGCAAAGGGCACAATTCTTTATTTGCTTCGTAGGTTTACATTTTTAAAATATCACGTATGATTTCAACAGAATAAAAATGAATTTCCTCTCAAAAGAAGAACAGTCGAACACCTAAATAAGTTAAAGAAATCTTAATTATTTTTTTCCTACAACATACATAAGCAAACTAAGGTTACAATCAAACATAAAGTAAAATTGAACATGAAAAAAAGGAAAAGAATGTTTCTCAAAGTTTAAAGTAACAAAAAAGTGGTCGAAAATGTCCTTTATTGCGGAAAATAAAAAATTGCAAGCAAAAAATAAAAGCCACAAGGCAAATAAATTCACAAGACATGAGTTAAAAGACACAAGTTATTCTCCATGGCATAAGTTTAGTGGTACAAGAGATAAATTATGCCACATGACATAAGTTTAAAGACACAAGATATAGGTTCAGTAACAAAAGTTATGTCTCCAGACAGTTTTCTAAAATGTCTTGTCGTACGAATCAAATACTACCAAACTTATGCCCCATGAAAAAATATTATCCAAAAAAGTTTTGTCCTACAAAATAAGGTCATCGATACTTTGAACCACAAAATTTTATTAAATAAACAGTACAATTAAATATTAAAGACCACAATTTTAAGGGCAAAGATTATAAAGCCACCCTGAAATAGGTTCGGTCCGTATTGGGCTTCAAATGGACAAAAAGTGGGTCTATTTTTGGGTTTATTGTGGTTCCCAAAATTATTTGAAGAATTAGCCAATATAGCCATTTATTCAATCGTTTGAATTTAAAATATGCTTGTAGTATTATTGTATAATTTGTGTATATTCATTAGAAAAAGTTGACCGACTATTTGGATAAAGATACCTTATTTCTTGTTTATATGATTAGGTTTGGATTGGCAAATGTATGGGCCCTCTGTTGCTTTGAGTTATGTGCATGTTCATGGAAAGAACAGATGGGCTTTAGAGGAAGGCCCACTGTGAGGAGTAAACAATGTAAAGCCATCTCTTTAGATTATAGGGAAAATTGTATATTATAGTAAACTATTAATTCAAAATAAATGATATAGCTACAATTTCATTTAATTTCAATTCATAGAAACACATTGCTCATTCTCGTCTCTCACCCCTAAATCTCGCTCGCCACTCTCAATTCTCTCCCTTTTATACAAGCACAAATGTATAATTTGTGTTTGAGTTTATATAAAGTGAGATAGTATGTATATACAAATACAAATACATATCTCTCAATCCTATACACTTATAATTATACAAATACAAATCTCTCTCTGCCACTTCTCTTTTGCCCCTCTCTCTTGCTTTATACAAACAATAATTATACAAATACAATCTAATTTGTGTTTGTATAAAGTGAGAAAGAGATTTGATATACAAATACAATTGTTTTAACTCGATTCAATTGTATATGAATTCAAATTTTATGCAAATATACAAACACAATCATTGATACATATATATAGTAGTTACATATATACAATTGTCTAAACGATATACATATATACAATTCACCTCTCTCCACTCTCTTCCCTCTCTTGGGCCTCTCTCATCTCTATCCTAATCTCGCTCGCCACTCTAGCCTAACACAGAGAACATATACATATACAAACACAATTCTCATAGTCACAGACGCCCGATTTATACAAATCACCGCGATTTATACAAATCAGATGCTCCATAGCAAACATAATTTGGTTATGGAGCGCAAAAAGCAAAACTGTAACTACGGAGCACTAATATGATTTTTATCTTCGCTATTCCTAAAATTTACTCATAATAAATGGATACTTTTTGTTTTATTTTCATTTGAAATTTCTAATTTTTAACTTATATTTTTTCCTCTTGATTTTCCGTTTAGTGTTCGGTACTTGCACTAGAATTCGATTGAATTCCGATCATACATAGCATGGCCCATTGTGGGAGACTGGGAGCAACACAATAAACAACAAAAAGAAAACACGATTCAATAGAACACATATAAATACGAGTTCTTATACATTTATTTATTTTCTATATATAATTATCTTCTTTTTTAAAATAAAAAAAAAAGGTTACAAACTCGAGAAATGTCAAGGTTCAAGGTTTACGGGATTCAAACATAAGGAATAAATCCAAAGTAGGCTATTTAGATGAAACAAGACCGTGCCGGTAAAATGAGCCCATATTTTGGTGATCCCCCATATTTAATGGATTGGATGAGTGACTTTTTACATGGGTAAAATATGGGTTGATATCCATATTCAATCCATTAAAATATGGGTAAAATATGAGTAATATGGGTAAAATATGGATTAGCCAAATGAGTTAAGCTTCTAACTTTTATTCACTCAAAATTCATGATATTACCAAATATATTGTAACTTCTCTTTTTTTATGTTCTTCTATAAAACTAATTATTTTTCTCTATAATTGAAAATGTGAAGTCTTTGGCCCTCCAAAAACATCTATTTTAAATGTACATTTCTTTTGTTAAATCTAATTATATTTTTTTTATTGGTTTAATTTTATATTGGATAATAAATAATAGTGTAAAATAAGCAAATCATATACTAGTATTGACATTGCTTAAAGTGCATTAAGCATGTTTTAGGGTGTGTTTGCTATGAAGGAAAACATTTTCACCCCAACCCTCGACCCCCCTTCCCCACCCCTTACCAACCCCAAACCCCCAAAAAAAAAATTAAGTTTATTTTTAAAAAATATTTTAAACTTCAAAATTTCATTTTTTCATCCCTACCCTCGACCCTCCCCCCATCCCCAAAAAAATAATTTAAGTTTGTTTTTAAAAAATATTTTCAACTTCAA